TTACCGTGCAAAAAATATAACTTCTATAAATGGAATTATTAAAATCGCTTCACGTTCAGTATTGGTTTTGCGGATAGAAAAATATTTCTTTAATCGTATCGGTCAGTTTCTCACCACAAATGTGAATATCGAATCATTTCATCAATCATTAAGATTCAATTTCTGATCCGCAAGTCTTCTTTCGATTGATAACGTATGAAAAATAATAACTAAAAGTATTTCTTTCAAAAGTGTGACACCGTAAAGAAATGAAGACCCATCTTTTTACAACGAGCTTACATTGTACTCGTGCACCGTAACCTCGCCCTTAGATACAAACACAAAAACATCTAATAGTTCCACTTCTTATAAAAATATCCCTGTATCATTGTAGAGAGTAAGGGCAATAGTGGTGCACCATAAACTAGAATAGGACGGCAGGTAACATTCCTCGGCGACTGGGTCGGCCGAGTCGCCCCTCTTGTAATTACCACGCCGAATAAAAACAGACTCTAGGCGAAAGACATTCTCCATACATCCTTATTTGTAAAGTGTCCATTGACATAAACATTTGGAGACTGAGTGGGCAGTGGGCAGACGGTGAAAGAAATAAATAAGTAGAAAAGTTTAGTATTTATACATTTTTGTAACTAAAAGAAATTCAATATCGCCAGCATGTTTCAATATTGTGAAGTTATGAAAGTACAATAGTCATAACAATTTTATTACATTTCACACAACATGTAATAAAACATTATCAAGAATAAACGGGATTCAGAACTACCGTTCCGTCCGCGTATCAAATTAAACTTAATTTATTTGCGAACACAAATGCATTGTTTCTTTGGATAGCATTACAGGTTCACGTTCGAGAATCGTGTCCGACAAATCGTGCCGTCTTACCGTGGACTCAAACACTAATGACTAGTAATTTAATCGAATTATCCATCACGATACTAGCTGGCATCCATTCTAATCTCGAGATCAGATAGATTTGGGTAGCAACAAAAACGCATAAGTACTTTTTGTCAAAGAAAAATAAAAGATCTACACATTGTAAAAACTCCATTAAAGATCGGAAGGGCTGGTTTACGGCTTTACCTGAGAGAGGAAACAAACAGGTAACTAGATGCACCGTCTCTTTATGGTGTACGATGGTCCACCATCTTTATTACTTAGACCACAGATTATAGAATAACACAGATAAATTAATGCCCTTTGCGACAAGTGGCAGATTGCAGTCAACGTTTCATTTTACATAGTAAGTGGGTACCTTCTACACTTAGTGGTTACCCAGTGGTTATAATTTCTCATGCAGTGGAAACCAGTTTTTGTATGGAATGAGCAACGGATGCTAAAATTGCATCACTTCCTCTGAATTCTGCATGTTCTTACTTTTTTTACGCCTCCACTGATGTATGAAGAGGAAACGTCTAGTTAAAGATTAAGATTATCGATCAATGGAATGGAAGCCTTTGGAATTTGACTATAAATATATTTAGACTTAAAAGGAGCAATGGAATTAATTGGTCAACTGTCACTTCGATTTTTGTAGCTTCCTCACTACAAAGTTCCTTTGAAGTTTAAATCTATTTTGTAGATAAAATAGAAAGACGTAGATTGACCCAAATTCTATACACAAACCGAAGAACATTATTTATCAGAAATGTCACAAATATATTCAGCTCTTATTCCTAGAATATCAAGTTTAAGTACTAAGTAGTGTCAGTATTACACAAATCTGCTCAGTAGCAACTAACTGACCTTGAAAGTGACCAGTGAAATACTAGTTTTTTTAGTACTTACGTACCTAAATAAAGTAGGTAATTTTTCAATGAAGAATTTTGAACAAATATTCTGACTACTGCCCATTGTTAAAATCATCTTTATATGAGATCATTTACCACGATCATAACGTGTTGCCGAGATAAATCTACCATTATCGTATTTTGTTGAGTTGAAACCAAGAGTATATGATGTTCTTTACATACGGAAGATTGTGCGAATATTCACTAATCGTATGTAATTCGTAATCGATTGTTAAACGTGACGTTTCAAAAAGGGCTTTAGTTAGTAAATTTGTTCTTTACTTTGGTTAAAGAAGACAATTCAGTCATGATTCTAAGTAATATGAATGATAATGGTGATTCAGAAGAAAGAAGCAAAGTGGCTACAAAACTAACCAATAAATAAGCATAACTAACTATAGTCACCGGTTCAAAAGGATTTGACATTCAATCTATTAAAAACACATACTCAAATCTCATACGAATTCACAATCAGTATTTACTAGTAAATTGTTATATAAATAAAACAATAGTACATAATATTTATCTCCATTATTTACAAACCACAGCTACATGACGCAACAAATCAGAAGGTATAGATTGCATCCTGATAACGTTACAGATGTACGTTAGTGCGATTTTTCTACGTTAACATGTTCGAAACGTAACTTGATTTAGTCCTCTGATTGGTTAGTCAAATGTAGCTGGCCAATCAGAGCGCCGAACGTCACAAACATGTCGATCGCGTAAACGTTAAATTAAAACAAAGTTACATTAGGCTCTCTGAAGTAATTTGAACAACCTATTATGTTCTTCACTTAATCTTTCGCATTATGTACTTTTTTATTACATAATAGGAAACCTAGACGAGTGACGTATGTTTTTAATTAAAACGAACATTGCGCGTTCTATACTCGGAATTTTAATTCGATTCCAGATTTGACAATTTCAGTGTGGCAACGTTATGACAAGTACTAAATAGTGACGTTGCGAAATTATTCGATATGGAAATGCAATATTTCTGGATCGATTCTTCTCGTTTATAATAATTATAATTTTACTCTCGTGAACTAAGTATATCAGAAAATTTAATATTTTTGAACCGATAATTTAGTTTTGACGATTAATTAACGATCTGAGACATTTCTTTTATAATTGTGTGTGAAATAAATAAATAAATGTAATCATGAAGGAACATGTCAAATAAAACAGATAGATGTATTATGGTAATAAGTTATTTTATAAATTATCGCCGTCATCGCTGTCGCTATCCTGTCACTTTCTGTAACATTTATTATAAAACACACACACTCATTGTTTATCGATTTTTGTGTGCATCACTACACTATTATATGTGGTATCATTATTTCATAAAATGACAGTAGCTATTGTCAAATCTGGAATCTAATTAAAATTCTGACTATAATAATCGATACGATAAACTTTTATTATAGTCGTCTAACTCCTTAAACACGTTTTTATGTAGACGAGCTCTTACTGAAAATTATGGAAAAAATAATGATTTATTTTGCAGCCCCTGTATTAGAAATAGAAACCACTTGAAGAGTGGTTTACTAAGATGATTACAACTAAAATTACCTTCTTTATAAAGCATAGGACTGGATGACATAAAGATAAAATACACGGTGCTTACAATAAGAACGCTTGAACTTCAGTTCAAATGGTTCAGTAGCTGCCCATTTTAGAAGCAACAATATTGGACGTTTCAAGTGGCTAAGTTTGTTTAATCTTGTTTATAAATACATTAACTTGTGTACGGTAGCCCGTAAGTGTAAAATATCTATAACTTTAAAGTATATTTAGTAGCTGGAATGTCGTGGAGATTTAGAATTTGGACGAAATTTAGAAGACGAGTCTGAACTCCTTGTTAAGTTTGAGGCGAGGTGACGTTTCAAAGCTTCTGCGGTTCGGTAACCTAGTATTAGTTTCACCATTATTTAATCCAGAGCCGCAATCTAAAGCCAACTTGATGTAAAATGAGATCTATTAGAAAAATTCCACTAGATTTGGCCACAACAAATTTAATATAGTAAAACAGAATCTAGAAGACTTAAAATGGCAAAAATATCAATGAAGCCACTTAATTAATTATTACATAACTCTTTGATTCAAAAACATACAAACGTAACGATTTATCACATACGTGTGAAATAACATACAATACATCCACCAAATACGTATTCTGCAAATGTATGTACCGAAGTGCGTCAAAAGTGACTCACACGCAGCCTTAACAAATTAAGGCGACCATCGTAATACCAATTGTTCGTCAGTTAGATGTAACGAAGATCGTTCAATGTTCCTACAACATTAAACTTTGGTTAATTTTTAGGTTAAACCTTTTAAGGCCACTAATCAATGAGTTTGCTGTTAAACAAGTTTAAGGTCTTTGTACATAAAGGTCGGAGTTTAGTGTACCTTTTCGTCCCTCAATATAGGTCATTAGTGTTCAGTGCAGAAGAAGGAAAAATATATTTTACTATAGCAATAATATAGATCATTTTCTTTCTTAGTTTTAACTTTAAATTCTCTATTTTATTCAATGTAGTATCACGCAAAACTATTCCAATCTTAGCTAAAACTAATAATAGTTTCCCAACTAAAATTTAATTAAAATTAATACCAAGAATAATAGGAGGAAATAGTTCATGATTTACGGACTTCATAAATAAAATCATAGACATGTTAACAATTTGTTGTTAGCTCACCAATAGAAACTGTTGCGGATACCTGAATCAAATCTCCTAAGCAATATTTATCATGTTTCCATCTTAAGAATTACTCAGAACAATTCGAAATACGAGCCATGTCTCTGTAATATCATTCCAAGATGACAACAAAAGGACTTTGGTGTAGCATCTCACGGTAGCATCTCATGAAAATTCTAGGTATCATAAGTCAAATATTAAACAAAAGGCTCATCTTAAACTGTCAGGGTGGCTAGCTGAACAAAGATCAAGTTTCATAGCGTCAGGAATGCTGGAGGTAATGCAAAGTAGCTATTTGTCGCATAATTGGACATGGAACATGACATGGCCGCGGTGCACGTGCGCGTGAGTCAGTCCAGCCAGTCTGCGCCCACGCAGTTCCACGCTCTGCCATTATGGACAAATCCTGATCATAGCTTTCATCGTTACATCAAAAATCATTGTTCTGAATACCGGGAATGTTTAGAGTGGTTGCAATTGTTGTCGGACAAGTGTAACAGAGGTATCACTTTGTAGAACTGTTGTCAATGGTTTCCGAGTATCCATCATACTCTTTCTCATAACGCTTGCATTTCCTAAAGGCCATTTTGTAAGAAGAATTTAACCGCACCTTTAAGAACAGAAGCAAGTCACTCTGTATGAAAAACGTTATGTACGAGTACAATTCAAATAGTCAATTATTCTATTTCCATTCAAAGCGATTGATAAGAATATAGGTGATTAATGACACTAAAATGTTAATTACAACGTTCTATCGAATGATGCGAAAAACTTTCTACTACTACATAAATACGTACATTATTAAGTATAAAAAGAACAATGTGTAGCATTAACCTGTATAAATAGATTACAAAAAAAGGCCTAAAAATGAAAACGTAAGTAGTAAATTAAATTATAAATCTAATTCTAAGGATTAAATACCATAGGTATAAATAGTGACTGTACAAACAGACAACTAATAAAGCCAATAAACAATAAGTAATTATTTTACAAAACTTCCTCAAAGCATACCATAAGTACACTTTGTACGACCATAATTTCAATTCAATATGGCGAATGATCATCTAAAGAGGTTTGTCCTACGAGGTTCTATGTTAAATGTTTCATAATAAAAGGTATAGTATCCGCTAGACTACCATCGAGGTCGACCACTCTATGATTTGCCCATAAGAGCCTGCGCAGACTTGAGATTTTTGTCTGTTAAAAACAAAAATCAATTCAAAATTATGAAAACGATCCACAGCATCTTACCAACTTTTACCGATTTAATAAAAGTGTTTGCTAATCATATCGAATAAGTTAAGACTAAGGGTCACTTGCAAGTATAGCACAATGACGGAGTTGAGTCAAGTCAATGTTATTTTAGCTGAGCAGATGACAAAAATGTAAGAAGAAGTAAGACGTGCTCCATCGTAGGCCACATCATCGCTTACTAAAAGGCGAGATGGTGGTCAACGTCGACCTATTAAGTATAAAAAAGTCCTATCGTCCTATCACTGCAGCTGTCAAATATTGAACGTCCGATAGTGTGACACTAGCTTTCCTATTGGTCGAAGAACGAGAGGTTCACACTAGAGCTAGTTAGTGAGCCAAAATACGGTAGGCCCCATTGTAAGTACTTACCTAGTCTGTGCAGGCCTTTATAGTTAGTTACCATACCAAAGATGTAATATCGTTGGAATAGGCAGTATCTCGTGGATTACCGCGGTCCATCATCAAATTTCCTTATGTGAATGTGAGAGAAAGCATCGGTAATGATTGTGCCACTTCATATTCTGTGTATTGTGGCTCTAGTTTACATGATAGCTTCTAAGCAGTAGTTATACTGTCGGGTTTTTATATCCACGTAATCCATTGTAAAAGTTATTGAGGTTTCTATTGAACTTGTTGGAAAGTATTGTACAGTTCATCCAAACATACCTTTCTAATATCTTCTTTAAGATGACCTGGTGAACTATGTAATGATCTTCTAATTGTTAATGTTCTATCAAATCCTCTTCTAATAAAATGGATCACCTTGTAGAAGGAACAAGTCACGTTTCATGTCTTCTTCAAGTGCTTCTGTTTACTCTACTTCAGTATTTGCTCGGCCTACTTACCTAATTGCGTTAAACGCTTGATAAGATTAAAATTAACTCATTTAAAAGATTGGTAGTTAATACAATGACCTCCGTCTTTACTTATCACTTTACTCGTGGAGTCAACTCTTAATTGGTTTTAAATGGAGCACCATATCGCAGGCGCTTTTTTAGTATTTAACATTCGAGTGTTTTAAAACTGCAAATGTGTTAGCACTTTATATGGATCAGTAAAGCAACATGTGCTAACCATTAAGTGGGAATCGAAGAAAAATCGAGGATCGGACAAAGACCCTTCACGATATCCACTTGACGGGAAGCCCGACATATGGTCGTTGGGAAACGGTTTTTGTTATTTTTTCCACGATCAAATACATACAATGATTGGCTTAGTTTAAACACGCAAATAAATATTAGACGTGAGATAATCTACTCCAGACAGTTAACTCAAGACAGACAGTCCCTTCTTTGTCTGTAAGAGTTGGCTACAGAAATATGCAAAAACAACCAGTCCAAAGTCGAGGAAACCCATTTTTGAGAATCACACAATAGTGCTCTTTGTTATTCCACAAGATTTACGATGCGCTGACTACCACCGACTTCGCTATACTTTTTCAGTGACACTTATCTACGCTTAAGTATCTGTCGAAACCTAATGAAACCGCATGCGCAAGGAGTATCACTCCGATATAAAACCATGAATTAGTTTACGAGACAGTCGTATCTCAAAAGAATGTCTCGTCATTTTTCTGAGAACCGGTCGTTGGACGAGATCCGTAGTCCGTAGTGAGCGTGGCACATCATACAGCACCGTACAATAGGTGTTTCGAGTTTTCAAGGCGCCCGTTCCTCGTGCATACCTGGCACTCCGGCCGGCTTGCCGCAACAACGGTCCCATTGTTTCACCATCGAATAATTTCGAGAGTTTCGACTGTTTTAACAAACTGAAAATTTATTGTATCCCAAGGTAAAGTAATACGTGACGGCACAATAGACTTGCAGTAATAACATTTCAGTTTTTTGTTATGTAATAAAGGCGGCAAACGTGCCTTAAAAGGTCAACAAGTAATGGAGGTTATTGACGTCCACCATCCACGTCTCGACATATTGTGTTGAATGAACATTCTAATGTTTATTTACCCAATACTTGAAACAGTCTAGGGAATTTAGCTAAACTGTGCGAGGCTGCGTCATATTAAAAACGCGTGAATAATTAAACGTTGCTTCAAATTCGCCTTTCATGGATGACTCGGACCGTGGGAGTTCCGAAGCACAGCTCATCTCAATCGACAAAAGGAACGGTACAAGTTGTACGATCGCTTTATTTATTTATGGTATTTCCAGTAATATTAGAAACCGGCGCGTGTCTTGGTATCATATCGTTTCACCAGTCGAGCAGCAAAAGTATGGTTTGCCGGTCGTTAACTACGCTCGCGACCTTTCGCGTTGTGTAATCGCCGAACACCAATCATGCAGAAATGTAAATGTTTGCCAAAACTAACTCAGTTACCTACACACTACACCTATAATATTATATTTACTAAAATAAGGATTGATAAATAAATATTGCATAAGATACTGTAGTGTGAAACAGCAATCATGCTGCTATTTCTGTCTAGTCAACAATGCATCAAGTTTATAGTACATACATAAATGAGTTACCTACTAACAACTGCTTTCCAGGAATTGCTTAATAATAAAAAACGTATGTCCTGAAATTAACTTTCAACTATTCAATCCGATTATAAGGTTGTTGTAACACAATCATAATCCGGGACGTGACTGCGGCATTGTCAGGAAGTTTTGTATTTTGTGAAGTTTTCCAAAAGGAAACTAATATTAAAGCAGTTTCACATAACTACTTACCTCGTAGTTTACCAACAATATGTTTGTAATATGACGGAGTAAGTAGCTCGCAAGGTCAGCCGCTTCCTACGAGGACTGAACTTAGGAACGCATGTAGGCTGTGCGCTGTGCAGGGCACCTGCAGGTGAATGTCTAATGCTAATTGGAGAACTGGAGCTAAGAATACACCTGTCCTAACTACCTCCTACCTACGACTTGCGTAACTTCACAAGGATAGTCGTACTGACAACAAAATATGGAGCTCATAAACATTTTTGTAGACTCGAATAGCAACAACCTTCATCCAATTACGAGATCAACTTCCAGTGAAGGTCTGTCCATAAATATAATGAAGTGTCGAATGTGGCGTCTAAATTGTGAAATTCGAACGTTTCGTAGTTCGGGTCTAGTTTGACAAGAACCAGTGGCAATAAAGCAATAGAGGGACTAGTGCTGCACTTAGTATGGACACATTGTCGCGAAAGCGGTTCTTGCTCCCAGCGCACATTCCATATAACCAAATGATCATTAGTGCAAAAACAAGAGGTGCTTGCAACACAACCTATCTCAACATTCTAGACCGAGCTTTGTAGACAATATCGATATAATCGTAATCGTGAAATACCAGGTAAGTCGGTTAAAGGTATTCTGTGGACTGGGCAGGGCTGGGAACACGGTAACTTGGTCAAACTGACAGATACTATTATGCTTGAATTATAATTTTGATACTTGAGAGCTAACATTTAGCAGATAACGTTGAACTTAGGACGCAATGGCATGCAGTCCTGCACCTCCAGTTTCATTACCTTTACGCCTTGAATAGATAATAAAATAACTTAGCTGTAAGCTCTATGACTCTAAACCACTATAGTCACACAGAACTAAAGAACAATTAATATTGCCTTGCTATTACAGGTTCGATTCTCGATTTTCCGCGCAGTTCAAAAATACAGATGATTCACTGATTTGTACCGGTGCTCGTGTGCCTATAGATAACATTTCTGTATGATTTAAGTGCCACAATTAATTGAAACTTTATTGCCTAGGTAGTATAGGTATTACTATACTTTAACTTAGAAGCCACCTATATCTGAAATCAAAGTCATTATCCTTCATCAAAGGTCACAAGTAGGTAGATCCGTAAGTACCCAGTACCTACCTACTTGCCGTAATGGATTAGCTATTAATTAGGTGTTTATATGGTACGCACTCCACTAAGTAGGTAGCTGGGTACCTATGTCTACTGCGGACTAACCAGTCTAGTATGAGTAATTCAGTGGGTAAACAAACCCGATGTAACCAATAAAAACAGTAGAAACCCCGCGTAAAGTACCCGCAGTAAGAATTGATGTGTAGACTGACCTGTCCAGTAGCTTTCTTATAGCGGTGCGTGGCCTCCCGCACGAGGTCTCTGACCAGCAGGTCGCCAGCGCCGCACGGGACCAGCACCCGCACCGACCCGAAGCACACTGTCACCTTCATGTTACCACCACACTGCACTATGAATCACCAAAGCACTACGCCACTCCGTCGCAATATCCACTAGCTAGCATATTAGTTTGTCGTCAAACTAACAGGAGCACAACATTATCTGATGCACATGGCACAGGTAACTTTACGTCGAAGCCGCTCACCAAGCACTCGCGATACAAAAAGAACAAAAACACCAGGTCGTGCGTGTGTTTTCATAGCGCAGTCGGAGCGTCTCGCTGCACACTCAGAGTGCTCCGCCGTGCACTTAATCTAATGTTAAATTGACACATCAAAACACTAGATTCACGTTGAACATCGAGCACATATCGATAAGATTACGCGAAGTACGGGCGCATAGTGCGCGCGCTCTCAACGGCAGCAACGGTCGTGGCAAGGAACATGAATAAGAATTTGAAGTTGTTTGTAGCGGCGGAGCGGGGCAGGGCGGCGGGACGCGGCGACCGGTTCCCGCGCGCAGCCAATCGGCGGCGACGCGCGGCCCGCAGCTGTGCGCTTGTGGTGGTGGCCCGCCGAGCGCCGCGTCATACCTGCCTCGCTCCGGTTTGTATTTCACTCACATACCGGCTATTACACATTATTTTGAATGAAACTGTCCCTGATTACTACTTAACTGAGTCATTAGTTGCGAGAACTCGCGATAACTTCAAAACTGGTAGCGTTCAGGCGTCTTACTCAAGCGAGCAGCCTACTTGTTTCTTTACAACTTACTACTCAGCCGTTGGTATTTGCTGTGGACAGTGTAGTCACAGCACTCACACACACGCAATTTAATCACAGTACAAATGTCGGTATCAAAGTAGTCATAACTTGGAGTTGATGTCATGCAGTCAACAAGACTCAAGTACCCACCTATAGCACATAACACAAGTACTTCAATAAGTTACTGTCTGGTGAAACGCCTTTGTGTAATCAATATCACCATGTCAACCCCTATACAGATAACATGCATTTACCCACACCGCAATCAAATTGTGTAACAAGGTAGGATCGTTTTTGTTCTTGAAAAACGACGAACAATAAAACAGAATGTACCCAATAAAGTTATCACTATTCTGCACACAAATAGAAACATAATGTTATACCGACTCGTTTGTGCTTTGCATAGGAATGCAGTTCAATCATTGCATCCGTACAATAAAGCATTATCTTATTGATGGCTAGTTATTTCTAACAATACCCAGGATGAACTCACAGGAAGAACTTCATACAAATAAATGCTACCTCGACATAGGATATATCCCTTATTAATTTCTATTTATAGCTAAAAAGACTAGTACTCAAGCATCTATTATTTCAAAGAAGTCCAAATTTGAAAATACCACGTGCAGTAAGCCAGTAACAATATCCGTTGATGGTTCTCGCGTGGTACAGTTCAAGGCGAAGGGCGTTAGTATGCGGAACACGACAGCCGTAACCGACACACCTGTACCTGACCCGCAAACCTATGTGACTATGTGACATGAGTATTATTCAACACCAAACTACATTATTTTACATTTTTTTTTCCACGAAAAAAGAATTATTTATATGACTTTTATTTTGATTTGTTACAATGTGACATGATAATATGTTTTTTAAATATAAATTCTAACAAACACTGCTGATAGATGAATTCAGTATGTTGAGTATGTTGCCGACCATTTTATCACTGCACTATTGTAGCGTTAAACTAAGAAATTAAAAAAAAATACTAATGTTGTCATTGTTACCTTATAAGTAGGACTACCCACTATTTAGAAGTAATTTAAGCAACTTACCCAAAGTCTGCTAAATAAAATACCTAGAAGTAGGTATTAGCAATTTAGTATTAGTAATATTTCCACCTATTCTGTAAATAAATCCAAACTTTAGTTCAGATGATTGATTTAAAAAAATAATTTGTTAAATAAATAAAGTTTATTCATTCACTGATTACTTTATTGTATAGGTATCCTTGTTAATAGGACCAGCTATTGTTCTTTTATAATTGTGAGTCACATTTGTTCATAATATGGCCATTATTATTTGAAGAAAAGGGGTTATAGTAATGGTATTATTATAACGCCTTTTCTTCAAAAGAACACTTAAGTAAATGTACTTTTCAACTGCAGTTTCCTACTCGTTCTCCTCCATAGAAATCCACACCCTGGTATGAGCAAATAGCTGCCCTATAAAAATTTTTGTTGACGTTTCAAAGTGCCTCCTTGGTCTAATTGAAATAAATGATTTTGACTTTGATTTCCAATTATACATAAGTAGTGAGCCAATAGCAATAAGCTTTCCACTATAACCATAATACGTTACTTACTTTGTACATTTTTCAAACGAATAAAGGAAAGTAATTTATTTATATCAAGAATCAACCTCACAGTCCACAATATTGTAACTGTTGAGAAGTATATTGTGACAACTGCGTCGCTAACAAACATTCCAATCCAATCGGACAGCACAATCTAAATAAGGTAATGATTAATTTTCCTGTACACAAGGATATAGAAAAATAAACAACATCCGATGATGTAAACCACTTTTAATTTGTAATAAGTAATTAATATTGCTTAGGTAATTGAATTTAAATAAATAAAATACACAATACACTTGCTACATAAGGCGCAATTCAAGTACCCTACACAAATGATACTGACAATATAATTTCTATGAGAATAATATGCAGGCAGGTCTCCAAACTGGTATTCACATTAAAGCTCTATAAACAGAAAGGATTTACTTTGTGCTCATAATGTCATCGTGCTAGATACACAGTTTTCTTTGTAGATAGCATTAATGTGAATATCTCAGCTAATTCCAAAACATTTTTGTATTCATATACTAAATTTTTATCAATTATAATGTGACAGTTCGATACACTGAATTACTGCACATAATAAAAAATGCAGCAATTCATCAATGAATATAATTATTCAAAAAACATTCAAAATATTCTTCAACTACTCGCCTACCAAGGTATTACTATAAGTCAGATCTATTATGTCAAATTTTGTCTGCATTCATATCGAGAAATAGAAACGTTTTATATAAAAAACAACATTATACAAGTGTCAAACAAATAATTCATACTGTATAAGCATACACATAAAATAGTTTGGCACTATGTGTACATACATCAACATGAGAAAACATTAAATTCAAATACTGAGAATAAAAATAGCAAATAAGAGAATTCCTTCAAAAAATAATATATTTTCACAGCGTGGTATACTTAGGTTTAGGTATGTAGAATAGCACTTGACAGGTCATTTAACAATATTTACAAAGATTAACAATCTCTAGATCTCACTGACGCACTATACCGTGCTCGTCCTATGTACAATTCTCAGACATTAACATCTCTCAACCAGTTAAAGCAGACCAAAATTATATTTCAAAAATTGTGATGTTAATAATAATACTACAAGCACGAGCTAATCTAATCGGAAACAAATTTTATTAAACTGTAAGTACATACCTCAACTATTTATACAAAAATCATATTGCCCCAAAAACGTTTAGAACATAACTCTGTGGATCGGTTTCCAAATTAAGTACATACCAAATTATATAATGTAGCAATCGCGACGCATAATGTACCACCATATGTACTTACGATCAGATTCTATGTACCTCAAACGTGAAATATATGATCAAATAACTTTACTATCAGAGTTTATTCTAAAACAATATAATTACATCAAATTGACACAAACTTATATTACATATAAATAATACAAAATAATTGATATTTATTAATACAGAGAATATTCTACAACAAATATTCGCTAGTGGTGTTTATATATTGGTTGTACTTTTAAGTGTCACGGCTGGTTTCTTAAGAACTATATGATATTTATCTCCTCCAAGTTATCGAGCACAAGTTAATGAAGTACATAAGAAACAGGGACTGATAATGGCACTATATTTTAATAAAGAAACGACCAAACATTAGAAAACCATACGTGACTAGATTACGGAAAGAAAATGCCAAAAGGTTTAGTTATCCTCTAACAATGGATGTGAAAATAGAAGTTTGTTTCATGTACTGGTTTACATAGACTTTAATACAATATGAGATACATAAGGCAGATAAATGAAGACTACGAAGCATAATCATCCAGCTGTGGTAACAATGTTTACTCTATAGATAGTTTGAAATGCATTAATCTTACGTATAGTTGACACCACTTCACTAAGTCTCCACAGGACAGGGACCAGCCCTTACTCTAGAACACTGACATTAACAGAGATTGGTCGCTCAAATTCGAATTCCTATACCGTTATCACAAGACAAACCATAAATAATTCTAAGTCAGAGCACCTTATAATTGTAGAGATCATCGCATTCTCCTATAGATGATGCATCACGCCATCACATGGCACATTCAGCTGTACATGAATATCATACAGTGTAACATTAATAGGTACATATTGACACAATTTACATAGTACAAAATCATCAAAGTACAGGCACGTCAGCAATTATGATAAAACAATTAAGTCCGCACACGCGAAATCTATACGCTCCGTCTACACGAGCCGGAGCAACGCGTCTTGCGGAAACAAACAGCGGGGAACAAAACGTTTTGAGTATTTATTTCTTTGCAATAGAGAGCCAAACTGTTCCTCCGTTAATTGTCCCAAATCAAATACGTCGAAGTCTCTGTCATGATAGTTCAATAATTTGAGATTTTCGTTATCACAATTGACCAAAAGGCAGTACACAAGAGAAACAGTCGAAATGTACACGAAATAGTCGATTAAACAAAATCGGACGTTATCACAACTCGCGACATATCACAGTATCACTACACGTCACTCTCGCCATCGGTGACGTGCGCGGGCTGTCCAAAATTTCTCGTGATAGACTCGCTGACGGTACGAATGTTCGCGAGGTACCGGTGTGCCGGCTCGTCCGAGTCGTAGATAGCACTCAGCGACTCCAGCGACACCAGCGCCTCCGAGTCCAGCAGGCGGGACGAGGCGCGGGACGACACGTCGTCGTCGCGGTCGAAGTAGCATGAATTAACATCACTCAATGCCGCCTCCGCGTCCGTGAGGCCGGCCTCGTTCAGCATGGACACGTTCTCCAGCGCGGGGTCGTCCGTCGTGTAGCCAGTACTCTCTGGCTGCCCGCCCTCCCCGTCGCCCTCACCCTCCGAGCAAGACGAGCTCCATTCGGATTGACTCTCCCCGTATATACCCATTTCTCTATGATGAGAAGCGGCCACCTACAAATTATATAAAGTCGTCGTATCAAGTTGTAAAACAACAAGAAGTTTCATAGTAACATTTCCAAGCAACTTACTCGGTGGTGCAGTCTCTCCTGGACTTCTTTTTCTCTCTCCTTTTCCCGAATAGTAATGGGATCAGGTTTCCTTTCGCATGGTGGGCTGCAAAGCAATCAATGTTTTAATAAAACTAGTAAATACAAATACATTGTATGCAAACTTTTACAACTAATGGTCCATTTGTGACCTACCTAGGTCTATGTCGCTCATGGTTGGGTGACGGCAGTTCTACGACGACGTCGGTGGGTAGTACCCCGGGGAACTCCTGGGGCCTGGCAGGACTACTGGCCTCGTTGCGCACGACCTGTGTGATGGCGGCCAGGCCAACCGCGTGTAGAGGGCTACTGTTGTTGTTATTGTTGCAGTTGCGCATCGGCTCCAGAGACGGGTTTGCTCCCCTATAAATAAAATATGGAAATTAACCTTCGTAACCACTTAAACTCTTTCTACTATAAGTGTTGTAGATGGCTCAAAATTAATATGACAAGAACAGTGTTCTTTTCACTATAACTAAAAAAGTCTTACCTTAATTCCAATTTCAGTTCTTTCCGTTCTGACTTGGGCGGGTTAATTTTGATAAGATTTTTATCATCGAGCAGTCGTTGGATCTCCCGTTCGAAAGGCGGTACGCACGCCACGTCTGACGGACTTCGCTTCGCAAAAGGTTCTCGTCCATCGTGATTCAGATGTTTCAAGTTCGTCGGTCGGCTACCTGAACTTGAAAATGAATCTGCTCGTTGCCCCAGTCGAGTGACCACATCTTTCTTGTCAGTTTGACAGCAGCCATCGCGCTTTGCAGAAGCTTGGATCATATTAATGATGCTTCTCTGCAACTTTTCTTCTTCTTTCTGGAAGTCCACACTTCCATCGAGGAACTTATCTTCGAGAGACGGTTTCCTGGCTATTTTATGTTTGGCGTATATATCGTTGATGTGGTTAACGGTGGGTTTGCTGGGGCGTACGGGTGGGTAGTCGTAAGCTGGGCTCGGGTTAGCGCGCTGGGGTCTCGTCGGTGGAATCCATTGAGAGGGTCGCGGGGGTGAGGGTGAGGCATCAGTGGTGCGGGAGTAGCTCTCGTCAGAGGAGCTGAGGCTGGGCGAGCGAGTGAGGGAGCTGAGCTCGTCGGCGGAGGAGTGCACGCGCGGGCTGCGTGCCAGTGGCAGGCTCTCGCTGGAGCGCGGGCGCGGCAGGCGGGCCGGGCCGCGCCGCTTGTGGGGCGCGGGCCGGGCCTCCGCCGGCCGCGGCCACGGCGCAACAAGCGCGCGCGGCGGCGGCCAGCGCGGGCCCACGCTGCCGTGCCCACCCACGTGGCCCGTGCCATGTGGTGGAGGAGGTGGAGGACTGTCCCCGTTCTCCTTGTTTCTGCGCCCCTTGCTACCCTTATTATTGCCATTACTCTGATGTCCATTAGAAGGTAGGAGCGGTTCATTCTCTCCAGCTACTGAGGATTCTCTCAGAGGTGGCAATCTTGAAGGTTGTGCGGCTGCTCTCCTCGCTGAGTTTTGTAGCATGGCAAGAGGGGTAGCAACACCACCGTATGCGGTGGGAGGGTTGTTTGTGGGACCATTAGACGTGCTCTGTATGGTCCCGTTAGCTGGAGCTCTATCAGTAAGGAAGTAGGTAGTCATTTCTCCCTTGCCCTTTACTTTGACCTTGCCTCTGCACACAAACTGGTAAGGCATGTCCTTCAGTACTTGGTACACCTCCTCAGTGACTTGCGTGTGATTGGGTAGACCAGTGGAGTCCATGCGAGATGCGACATTGACTGTGTTACCCCAGATATCGTACTGTGGTTTCCGCGCTCCTATTACACCAGCTACTACGGGACCAACGTTTATACCTGGAAAGAAAAATAGTTTCATTCAGTGTTCCGAAAGATATTAAATAGTACAGTAATTTTCAACTTTATTCTGCCAACTTTTAAGTCTAATTTGCTTTACTTTAATCGCGAACTTTACTCACCGACTCGCAACATAAAGTTATTGTATGAGTTGTCGTTGATGTCCTTCAGTTTGTCCCTCATCGCGAACACAAACTCGACGAGCGTGGCCATATGTTTGCGTGTACTCGGCTCGTCCGTCATCTTCCTATCGGGAATCAAACCCACTGCCGCCATGTACGTCGATCCAACAGTCTTGATCTTGTCTATTGCACCGAAACGATCTTCACCCAGAAGCTGAAAAGTTATGTTTAAATTATTTATTACCCACTTTTATGTCACAAGTTAATCTGAACCATGTAACTGTCACTAAGACTCAAAAGGGACTGAATGTTTTGGTTATTACCTTCAAAAGACTGTAGTACCACATAAACATTTCAGACATTAACACATTTGCATACTCAGCACAGCTCTATCCAATTCTTAATGGAAGTAATAATTCCAGAATTGTATAATCACATTCAAAACGCACAGTGTACTTTAAATAGACAGTAGGGGTATATTTACCTCATCAAAATCAGCAATAATTTCGTTGAGCAGCCGCAGACACTCCATGCCCTGGTTGTTCCCGTCGAGCTCCATGTAGAACTCGTGGTAGTTGGTGATGGACGCGAACACCACGCCGACGCGCTGGTACGACTGGTGGTACAAGTCCTGCGCACCGCGCCTCTAGTCAGCACCCAGCCCAGTGACAACCACACGCGAATTTATCATCTATTCCCATTGAACTACGGTCTACTTTTCATTAACGTGGGTATATAGAAATAGTCTTCAGTTTGATTTGAGACACAACCACACGCAATTATAATGTCTATTTTCATCTAGCTACGGTCTAGTTTAGATTAACTTGGTCTATTCATTTTAACTGCGAAAATTTGGTATATATTTTTATCTAACTACAGTCTAATACTAATCAAAGTAATATACAGTGTGACATGTTCTTTTCTGATTTGCATTAACAAAATCACACACCAATTTAGTATCTAACTACATCTAGCTAAGGTCTACTATTAAACAACATAACCAGAGTATAGTGAGTGTTTTCCTCTTGGATTGAGACATTTCATAGCAAGTTGTAGAAACGTTGTTATTATTTTCCATATTTTTGAATAATGGAATATGTAGTAAATATAAGAAATATTTATAAAATATTTTGAAGAAAAATGAAAAAATAAAGCGTCAAAAGCTATGTGTTAGTTGGAAACAGACTCGTTATGCAAAAAACACGCTTGCAGTCAATTCTGTATGACTGTGCCTACCCCTTTTGAAATAGTGTGTAGTTGTCACTAGACCTCATACGTGCTATGTGTGACACATAAGTTAGTAATGTGGTCGATCAACCATAGGTATTATAGTTGATTGAAATGCGATGCGAGTGAATATGAACATAAAAACGAAATTATGAATATTTACATAAAAATTTTTGGAGTGATTACTCAATGAATTTAGCTTAACCACTGAATGAATGTAAGTAGTGCAATGGATGCTTTTGTTGGTCGGAAGGTATTTCTAAATTAGTTTTGAGGTATTCAAAGTTGATTTTGAAGCAGCAGTGCATTGATAGCATCATAATTTTATATAAAAATAACGTCTTAAAGGAACTAACCAGTTCCATTTCCATTATAAAGTTAATTTATAACTTTATTGTTTCGTGATAAAGTTGATAATACAATAAGAAATCCTTTTACAATATTGATGTTATGTTGCAAGCTATTTTTAAAGTTGGAAATACATTACTTGGCCTATCTGGAAGTCATTGGGGGAGGCCTATGTTCAGAAGTGGTCATCTTACGGTCAATATGATGTTGAAGTTCATGCATATAAACGGCGTCATCAAACACCACGAATACTTACCATGTTCGTTCTAAACTGGTTGTCCAAGAAATGTGTTGCCACGTGCGCTGGGAGCAGGTTGAAGAGAATTCTCCTGTTCGATGCCTGAAATTAAAAAGTGTTATGTTAATAAAAACAAAATACAAAACAAGTCTTGTGGTCAAATGGGAAACGCAATAGAACTGTTTCTAAAGTGATTAATAATAATAATTGTTTCCTTTTACTATTTAGTTAGTTCTAAAACTCATTAGCATTGGTCGCAAGTGCGACTGCCGTTCAAAGGGTTTTAGGTTCGATTCCCGGGTCGGCCAAATATCGGCCGGTATCACTCCGGTCGAGCTGGCCCATTTGTGGCGAAGCAAAGTTCTTCCATTGTACATAAACTTGTCGTAAGGACGTATGAGCAATGAACAAAACTGACCTGCAAAGCATCCATATCCCTCTTTTCGTCCCGAGCTTGTGCCTGCCATAGGAAGTCCAACCTGGCCGTCCATTCAGTCTGCCTCGCGTGCAGTAGCACCGCCAGAGCCAACGCCACCGTCCACGCACTGGCTACGTACGCGGAACCCACCAAGCCTGAACTGAAATGTATATGAAAAGGAATATTCGTTTACTTATGTTAATTTTAATAATATAATCAAGATATCTAATAAAATTGTGGTGTATCCTCAATAAATTTCAGTAAGAGTCTGACACTCCCTCCCGCCTCACCCAGGCGGGAGACGTAATTAGATATTTTTCCCGCTTAAAAAAATCTTCAAGAAATTGTTATTCTGGCTGGCTGGACGCCTCTCCAACTTTCTCCAACAACACTTTTTCAAGCTCTTTGCCTACAACCACTAGCAGTCATGTAATCACCTAATTCAATAGAGAGATATTTTATATCAACATAGTCATATCAAAATCGATATATATAGATGGAAAATAATTTTATGAAAATCGATCCAGTCGTTTAAGCAAAAAACTATAATTAAATTATAAGTAACACAAACTTATTGTGAAGTTTCCTTCAGACATTTATATTTAATTAGTTAGTAGACAGTATGAACATTTATATTGTAGTTACATGTTATATGTAGGTTGGCATAGTCTCTATGCCATGACATAACTAAAACCTGCGACGGAGGTAGACTATCGCGCCGATGTAATCCCGGCAAGATTAGACGGATCGCGTTACATTAGCCGTTCCAATCCTCTTTGTGCCTGAAGGTTTTCTATTATTAGTTTAGTAGTCATACCGTAATGGAAAGCTAATTAGGAATTAGCTTGTTCTTCTTATGAGGAAGGTTAGTTAGGAGTTATAATATTTGCAAAGGTATATTTATAAGGATATTGCAATAAAAATCTTTTTGGAGTTGAAATGTTTGAGAATTGCAATAATTTGGGTGCCTTCTAAAGCAGATTTTTCTAACGCCAGATAATTTTTTACTGAGGAATAACTTTGCACATATTTTTTCCATACTGAAAACTTAAATTTTATTCTACAGTTAAAAATTAAGTTATGATCGAAAAATCGGTCTTTAATATCGTTATTACAACGTGGTCGTCGTATCGTTATTACAACAATACCTAAAATCACTCTTTGTTTATTAGCTAGTTTTGACCTATGATTACTTATGATAACTTACCAAAGAATATTAAAATAATTCGAATATTACTCACTCAATCATCAAATCGTAGCAGTCGAACAATGCCTTATGGAAGCCGAGTATAACACCCATGTAACCGGCGGTCATCACAGCCAAAAGGATCCCTTTCACCAGGATTGGGAGCCTTAAGAACACGGCTACCACCAGCATACTGAGGCAGCAACCCAATGTGATGTATAGTGGGACTGGACAAGCAAGATGTTCCGTCCGACTCGACCAGAGCTGTGCGGCAAGATCACCCCGCATTGTAGCACTTCGGCCATACTTGTCGTGTTGCCTGTTAGATTTCTGCATAGTTCTATGTGTTCGCATGTTACCTGTAAATGAGGAAGGTAAGTATTTTGAAAAATCGGACGATATTGAACTCTAATGCACTTGAAAAACATTTTCTGACGCTAGTCAGCTTTGTAATGGATGTAACGTGTATTTTCGGATGTGTTGAATGAATACCTTCAAGAAAGCGAATCAAACACAAACATCTATTAGTGTAATCTACAAGTGGTTATTTTGGGTTTGATCCGGTTGTGGATTTTGTGTTTACAAATGCATTCACAACACAGAAGAAAACACCAGTGTGGGGTAAGTTTGTGTTTAGATAAGTTCATAAACCATTCTGAAACCTGCAAAAATTGTATATGTATATATATTGTAGATATTTATCTTAACTTACCACATTAACTTGTCCAACAGCGTAACCAAGCACAATAGTGAACGTCGTGATAGCATTTCTTAGAGTGAATGGTCGAGACACATCGCATGGTATGAGCCTCAGTCTCGCAGCCAGAGTCAGGGCCAGTACTGCTGCAGACCAGGCGAAGGCCGTCACGAACAATATGAGGAGGATATAGGTTTGTGGTAGGATGGAGGCTTGCAAGGCTCCCGCCGCTACTAAGGCACATAGCGCAGCGGATAGGGATCCCGCCCAACCGCCGTCTGTTGATGCTCGGTACTGTAAATATGGAAGATGACTTTCAATTATTTAGGTTTAAATATTCTATGGGATTACAAAATAGACGGTTAGATATTTAGAGATGCTCCAGAAGTTACATTATTTTCCTATTAGTCAGATATGAATGACACACACGTAACTAGTGTCCAGTATAGTAGTGTAATAAGATCACCTGAGCTTCCTTGTCGGCATCCTTGAAGCAGAGCGTGAGCAGGTGTACGTGCGTGGCCTTCTCGCGGTGCACGGAGCGCGCGTCGATGGCCTGCGCCAAGTACTTGTTCACGCGGTTCGTGGGCTGATGGTACACAGACGAGTGGCGCTTTTTCAACGGACGCTTAAACTTCTCCGTCACTTTATTCTGTGAAAACCCACATGCCACGTCAACCACATTGACAAACATAGCAACTACAAGAACCTACGCTACTAACCACCGATTTGTACAACGATCATAATGGAACACATCGATTAGGTACGGAAGGTAATGAAGGTACACCGAGACAAGGTACGGCCGAGGTCAGGGTACACATGAGGGCCATGCCGACTCCATGCTCACAATTTGGAATTTAGAACTGACCTTAGAATACAAAAGATCCGGAATCCAAAGCAGCATCACGTTATTAGAATAGTAATGAAATGAAGTACAAAACATAATATACAAAACGACAGATACTTTCAGATTGGCAAAATATTGAAGTAGAACTTTACAGAGGAACTCAGGCTCCATTGAAATTGATGTGAAATTACGTTAAGACAGATCGATAGTTATTAATAATCAATACTTAAAACTAAATCATTTCGTGTTTGATTATTTCATAAGAGAAAGTTAAGTAAGAGAGATCAAGTGACAGAGAGAGTAGAGACAGTAGAAATAATCAAGCACCAAATAAATCGTGTGTAAAATACAAAAGGGCCAGTGACGTCATGCAAGTTAGTCGGGCGTCAGGCGTCGGGTCGCATGCCATGCTCTAGTGCTCGAGGTGACTAGTCGGGGTAGCGAGTGAAACACAGTTCGGTGCATCCGGCTTTATTATCGATCATTCTATAAAACAATCTCAAGTATACAGTTGACAATTTCGAAGTAAGAAACGGTGAAGTGAGTGGTCTGTGTGCTCACGTCGAATTAGTCGTCCCCTTCCCGTGTATTGAGTCACAGTGAATAGAAACAGAATGGTAACGTGTTCGCGGCGGTGCGCCCACAGACACTGTGTGAAGCGTACCTACAGTAAGTAAAGGGAGTTATAACGTGTCGCGTGTCGCCCGGTAACCGGGAAATGGTGGAGAACAATAATACACATGAACAACATTCTGTCTGCGCTTACTGTTTCAGCGGGTATTTGTTGTGGAACTAATGTCCAGGGGCGGAATATCTGAAAATAATGAGCAGACGCCTCATGTTAGTCGCTGGTGTATTTCAGTCTTCCACGATATTGTTTTCTACTTGTGAATTTCGATAAAGTATAGCAAAAGAAAAAGAATCTCATTCGGATTTAAATGGAAACATAACGTAACAAAACAGTAAGTGAAGGCTCAAACAGACCAGCAACTAAATGACATTCGGGAAACAATACGGAGGAAGAAACATCTTTGTGCGTGGGTTCTCGTGGAGTAGACTGACTACCTACATATGGACGATAACTTCGCGTGTTGGGGACTAATAATAATTGTGTACTGATTACTGTGTTTGTGTGTATTTGTGTTGAATATAATAAATAATAAAGATTGGCAGAAAACGAAAATGGCAAATATAGTATGAAGCATTTTGAAACATTCTTCAAGGTCCTCGCAAAATTATTTCTGTAAAACTTGTCAAAAAGCTTCCAGTGCACACCTTAAAATGTAATAAAAGCAGCAAAGATTTAGTTTGAAAACCACCACTCAAACCAAACTAACTACTAGGAAACCATTAAGCGAGGTTATCATTCGACACACAGTATACGTACGGGACGCATCGCTATTGACACACGGATGCGTCTCGCGTAATCGTATCTTAAAACTGAAGCGGAAAATCTCAGAACCGCAGGAGGAATAGCGATATGGTTTCATGGTATACTCCTAAACTAGACCTAAGTGAACCATATACTATATCGTCCCTGTGATGCATGTGTAATGCGAGTGTAACGCACGCGCGCCGCCGCACGCCTCTAGTCTCTACGCGTGGGACGGCGGGCGTGCGCGTACTACGTATGTATACGCAGTTGCAATCTGTGCCAGATTAGTTCAAACTGTCGCGGAAATCGATGCATAAATTCCCATTATACTCGTAATCAAATAGCACAGGTCAAACAAAGTGCGTAGTTGCGTATGCATAATAATATTAACATGTGCGGGGGTGTCGTCGACGGCGTGCGTGCGGAGGGCGTGGTGCTGCATGACGGCGTCGAACGTGTGCTGGTGCGGGGCGGAGGCGGGGGCGGCGGGGGCGCCGGGGGGCGCGGGGGCGCGCATGGCGTCTCTCACGTCTTCGGGGCGCAGCGCGGCCAGCCGCAGCGCCTCCGCGGAGCCCGGCTCCGCGTGCAGCGCGCGCCGCAGGTCCAGCACCTGCCGACACCGCGCGCTAGTACTCCGACCTACCAGCCAAGCTACAGCCCACTGACATCACCCTACTAACGCTCGGCCCGAGGGACGACCGCGATACCCACGATACAATACACATAGAAACGATTCAATTTTATTTCAACATTTTATTTCCACTCTAGGTCGCCATCGTCCCTCGTTCTTTAGTAATGCCTCAAATATGCTCATTTTACAGACATAAAAGTTGAATTATAGGTAAAAAAATTAAAACACAACGTAAATCTTATCAATTATTTTAACGGTAATATCCACCCAATATAATAATAATTACATCCAGAAACTTTAGAAAAATATAACAGTATCAAATCAAATGAAAGAAAAGAGAACTTACCTTTGAAAGTCGAGAGTAGATCACCAATACGAGAAAATATATCACTCGAGACAAACATTCTGAAGAGCGAGATAAAGCCGTGGACAATGAACTCGTATTGTTTAGTCATGTCCATTGAGGTGCAAAACTTTCGCCAAATAGTTAAAGTGCAAACAACAAGATTTTTACGTTTTAAGAAACGGATAAAGTTTTAGAAGAGTTCCCCTCGACGAGCGTAAATGCGAAACCGGTGGCGCCCTAACTGTCTTCCTGTGTATTCACCTGCCGATATCTACGGGGCGCTAACGACTTCCGTCGCTAATTCAAGAGGAACTGTTCCGTGAAATGTTTTGTTCGGTCTCGAGTCTGACATACGTGCTGTACCTTCCTAGCCGCATTGGCCTTGAGCTCCTGAGGGGAAGCGGCCATGTTTGAGAACGGCACGTCCACGTTGAACTTGATGGAGTGGAGTAACTGCACCACGACGTTGGAAACGTTCTTGAAGGAAAGTTTCCGGCGCGAAGCCGAGCCGAGGCCCACACCAGCCGATAGACACATCTGCAAATATAACGCTTAACAATGAAATCCGTATCGACAGCAATTATATTAAATGAAAAAATAATCCATTACATTACAATTAAAAGCCACTCCCCAATTCCCTGCTATACAATACAATTCTCAACAAATCTAATTGCAAGGTTAAAAGTAAAACTAATCTCGTAAAATATTAATCAAATAAATGGTAGCATCCCCAAGGGTTTGGCGCGAAGCTTGTAGAGGATTACTTTTATGCTTTGGACCTACTTTTCTTCGTCTTGGCGGCGGAATGATGAAGTAAGTCTGCACGGAGTGGTCCCGAAGGTACGCGTTGCGACTGCCGCCGTGACCCGGCTCCACCTCGTAAGCCCCGCCGAGGCACTCGAGCGTCGCCTGTGTTATGTGCACTCGTCTGAAAGGAATCGACATAACCTACAATATGTCCCGTGTGGAAATATAAGCAGAAAATTTACGGAACACTTTTAGTTTGAAACCTTTATTATGTAGTGCTATAAAGAGATGACTCAAATGATGTTTGATAGACTGTTGAGTCATGCGGAAGTAATGCAACCTCAGTGCAACCTGTTGTGCATAATCATCACGTTTGTTTGAACTGAACCTGATAGAGCAAGTGTACCTTTTGTATCAATTTTCCTTAATGAACAAAGAAATAACTATTCAGTTCTGTATGGAAATTTAAGAAAAAGTGGTTCAATATATTAATCTGTCAAACACCAAGCGGTCACCGGTGACCGCGACCTATTGTTCTTTAATTGTGTCTATAAAACCGGTATTCGACGAGTTAATATTGTCACAGTAGCCATAAAAGAATTTCTACAGAAGACTACAATTGGAATCGAGTAACCAACTCCACTAATGTTGTTTCAAAAGTGCTTGTAATGGTCTAATGGAAATAAATTATTTAAGTTTGTGTGCGACGTGCGTGTTGTATTGTGAGAAATATTTTTTAAGGCTCCGAACTTTAGCAAGAATTCGTTTAAAACCAAATATTTAGGCCTATGCGTCTATTCTGAGTTCTACCTCCGAGTCTTACTGGATGAGGCGGCAAACGAGCAGACGTATCACTTTATGGTAAGTGATCTACATCGCCTATAGACACAATACCAGAGGAATAACGAGAGTTTTAGCGGCCCTTTCTAGCAAATAAGTTAGTTTCACTTACCCTGGTTCACCTCCAGCCTCCATATTGTTAGCTAGAGTGACGTCATTGGACCAGACATCGTACTGCCACTTACGCAGGCCCAGCACTCCACACAGCACTCGTCCGGTATGGATGCCGACGCGCATGTTCAGTTGGACGTCTGTCGCTTCCACCACAGATCTAAGAAGATAAAGAAGTTGTTAATTAACAATAAGTACAATAGTAAATTTTTCCAATAGTCTAGCATTTGCTAGTGGGAATAATTGGGGAAGTGGTTACATCCATCAGTCGAATAGTGACGTTACTTGAGGTCTCAATGGCTGATAATATAATTCAGTTTATACAGTATTAGTAATGCTTGCCGGTACATTTCCTTTCGACTATAATTTTAAAAAACCTTGGTATTGGCGTATAATTTCTAAATATATACGCCAAACTTTTACGAAAATAACAGGTTTAATTACACCAAGAGATACACAGGTGAACAGATTCGCAAACACCTCTTGCGTCTATCATTTTATTGATGTGTTCAGCATCCGCAAGTTTCCAAAACTGTAGTCACTAAAGGTTTTACAGTTTTACTGAATCAGAAAACGTTAGAAACATAAAAGTCTAAGATTAATACTACCTACACGGCTACCAAATTAAATGTTTACATGCGAGTTATAGAAAAAACTGTTCGGTATTTTTCTTACATTTACTCTGAAAATCTTGTTTGAAAGAGTCTTCGGGGTAAAACAAATTAAAGTTCGTCTGGATTAAAAATTCCGGGACGAAGAGTCGAGCTCGTTGGAAAATAAAATGTAACTTTGATTAGGTACATACTGTGGTAGTGGCGTGGCCACAAAATTTTGAACAGTAATTAATTTCCGATCTGATCCCATATCAAGGAATTTGTGTTAGTTCATTCTCATGTAACTTTTTTATGGGATAAGCCCGTAAACGAGCGAAGTGTCACGGTGACAGTAAGCAATCGCCGCCGCCCATGGACCCGAAACACCAAAGGCGTTACAAGAGCGTTGCCAACCTTTTGGTTAGGAATTTGAGGATTGGGGAGGGAGGTAATTCAGCTTACAGTAAACTCACACACACGACGAAACACAACGCAAGCGTTGTTTTACGTCTATTTTCTGTGAGACCGAGGTAACACTCCGGTCGAGTCGGCCTATTCGTGCCGAAGCATGGGTCTTTTACTCTTTAAATGTGTCCGATGTCTACCTATAGGCAAACAAATGACCGAAATGATCTATTACCTATATCTATCCCACTCTAGAATAACAAGCTCCAGTTAAATATGTGATTGGCACTTAACTGAACGAAAGTAGGTCATTCGCGAAAACATATTATTTTTAGACGAATGACTACCTAATTATTTTGAGGCTAAGTAGTATGTTTATGTTTTAGCGTTAGGCAATTAAAGTTACTATTATAAAATGAATTATGATGTATTCTTCTTAGACGTTGACAAAGTAATAATTTAAATCGTATTTTACGTTGGATTATATATCTGGAATTGTGCCCGGTATATGGCAATAGGCCCACCGCCTATTACATGGGTGAAAAGTGGGTGTTACATTGTACAGTGGCATTAAGTGCTGTAATGTGAACCTCTGCCTACCCCTTCGGGGATAAAAGGCGTGATGGTATGTTATGATGAAAGTAAACGAAACATATAGGTACAATAGGTAAATATTTCAAATATACTTTACTTAATTAAAGAATCTTGTAAACTAAAGAATCCCTTTCCTCTCGGAAAATAGACCTAAGTATATAACAGACGGGAAGATATAACCTTTTTCAGAAAATTAATTTTGCATTCCTCTTTTGCATTTTTAATGTAATGGCTGCATGAATTGTTAAATTTGTAAATGGACAACGTTATGCGGTTATTCCATGAGGGAATTTTTGACTGGCATTACTGGCAGGCTGACCTGCTGTAGGGTTTTATCCGGTTAATGGGTTTAATGGTTACCCATCCCCTACTACATGCTATTAATATTTTGTGTGGTTTTGTCTGTTATACCAAAATAGTTTCAACAAAGTTTATTGAACATTTCTTCGTTAGTCCATACCAACTTCAATAAACTGAATCTAGGTTAAGTAGGAGCAAGAGAACTCGGTTTCGATTTTTCATTTCAGTAAAGAATTAGTCGACTTTTTAAGAAAAGACATAGCACAGAGACTCAAACTGAACCTTGTATATGCCAATAAGTAGCAATACTAGAGTAGACCTAATAAAAGGTTGCGGAGAACCTAACGGGTTACCGGGGCTCCGGCTCGAAGTACAGGAGTAGGAACGGGATGGTTTTTAGTCAGTAAGAGTCTGACACTCCCTCCCACCTCACCCAGGCGGTAGAAGTCATTCGATAATTTTCCACCCTTAAAGAAAAGACCTAATAAAAGAGGTTTTTTTTTCTTATGATTACGATTGCCAGATATTCGTATACAAGCTTTACAGCCATCTGCTGTGGAGTCTAACGTCTTCAAATGATGTAACATTCCAATCTAAACACCAGACTACACTTCGGAATATAACTGGAGCTGGACTCCATGTGCATTCCATCAGAGTTTATTAGACAGATTGACTACCCTTGCGAATGTGGCTAAATAAATCCAACTGAATTACCCAGTAACTATTCAATAAATTGCGAGATTCCAATGCTCTTTCACTAAGCGAATTCATAAATTACAGTTACGATTTTTTTCACTCACTTACGTTATTTTAAGGAATCATAAGCTTCGGTTTCGTATGTAAATACAAGTTCTAGATTTGGCTGGATTGCCAATCCAGACAAAACAACTAGTTCTTGGTATTATGTACCTACAATGTGCATGTGAAATTATTTTTGTCCCGCAGTAGCACCCACGACAGAAAATGCTATCACATACGATTAAACTGTTAAACACCAAGCGGTCACCGGTGACCGCGACCTATTGTTCTTTAATTGTGTCTATAAATACGGTACTCGACGAGTTAAACGTCACAGGCTTGGTACAAATCTTCTTTGCAAGCTTTTAACACAAAAGACTCTGCGTGGTTTAGTTTAACTCGCTTAGACACAGATTTAATGTAAAATTAAAAGTTCAGTAAGTACTCAAGAGGGTAAGTAAAATTACTCGTGAAAAAGATACGATGTTTCCATGGATACACAAAATACAAATTAAAATAAACTACAGTCGGGTAAAAAGAAAAAAATATTTACGCTTCAGTGACGTCACGATCAAAATGATAAGGCTAGCAATATAGGTACATAGTTTTATCTTCTTTTACACAAATGAACATTTTCTTGCCATCAAAAACTTTCTACACATACATACAAAAAAAGAAATATAATTGGAACATCAATGACGTCAGACCCGAAATGCCAAGGACAGCCGCATAATGTCTTCTCTTTCTACTCAGCCGAATGCAATCTTCTAGCAGATGAATGCAATCTTAATAACCGCTGCATCACACTGGATAGTGTTTGTTGAATGTATCGACGAAATATCACAACAAAATTAGTTTGGAAGAAATTTTACACGAAAGATTAATGTAATGGAAATCATAGCAAAATAAAATTCAGTGGAAAATTCGGAAAATGACAACCATGTAAAACCCGCTCGGCTATAGTACATATTCCTCTCCTTATCGAGCTATTGCATATTTAAAATCTGTGAAAAAACTTATGCTCCTTTAAATTCCAGGTGTGAGCAAAATTAGGTATCGGAAAATTATTATACAGTAACAAATTCTCTAGTTTACATATGTAATCGGAAATCTCAACCAAAACATAAATCAAGTAAACGCTGAAAATCGTTGATAAAATGGAATTATTTACTCGACGAATAAATCTCTAGGAAACTGTTATAACTCTTTCGCTAAGAGAAGACAACGCAGTAAAAGACGAATGGCGATAGACTTGGCAGAGATGCGCATACGCCTTGCTAGATAATCTACATCTACATAATATACAGTATGTAGTTCTATATACTACATCGCGTTCCAAATAAAAACGTGCAGATGTAAACATCACAGTCGGATACGAATTACCGAAATAAGTTTAAAATACTTCACATTGGTATTTGTGAATGTTTTTCTTATTTAATTTACGTTTCCAGTTCTCACGTTAAACCAATACTTACACTCGACAACGAATAATATTTTTCAAAGTAAAAAAATAAACGCGGGATGTAAAGAAACAAGACAACCAATAACAAGAGTAAATGATATATTATTTTAAATGAGGTTTCGTAACAAATTGACAAGATTAAAGTTAAAATTGTTGTTGAACGGTGCCATTAATTTTATTTACACATTGTTGCTTGATTCAGTGACGTAAAGACTAGTTTTCAACGTACACAATTGATTTATTAATATCTCTACAATTTTAGGTGAAGTGGTAGGTGGCGCTTATCCAATATACTTCATGAACAATGACAGAGATTAACATTTGCAAGAATAGCCAAGTGGGTGTAAACATTACGACCGTAATAATCTACTTTAAACAGAACATCCACGGGCACTAACTTGTTTAAGGTTTCATTTCATTCAAAACATTGAAGTACACTGTAAACTAAAAACTTTTCTCTAGTTATTAGACATAATGGACACTTTATTAAGCGACTTTGTGAAACTCGAGTCGAGCGCTCTGTGCGGGATTCCTGTAATGAGACCATTTCTCGTTCGCAGCGAACAAATTCCGGTAATTTTCCGAGATTAATTCTTAATGTTTCACAAAGCTACGAATTAAATTAAACGAGCTTATTAAGTTACTGTAATGGCAGTAGTCGGACTGTTCTTTTCAACGTAATTCTAAAAGCAGGGTGGCGCACGCCGCCGTCCTTGGCGACGCGACGTTGTACTCAGAAAATGGGAAATGGCATTATCCTCAATGTACGCAGTTCACACGTATTTATACAAATGGAAGAAAATTATTTAATACAACGCTGTGCCCATTGAGATTTCTTTCAGCTAATGAACCATAACTAATTATGGCCAGCTTTACGATTTCCTTTGTGGTTTATTAACGCCAGTTGATTTTATAGCAATGGGCTTTATCGGTGACAAATCGAGCATAGTTTACCGCATTTTTACGGTCCATTTTGTTCGAAATAACGTATTCCTGTTAATGGATACATGAAGTAAAGCCAAGGATTTTGTTTCTAATTCATGATTAATAAAATTCAACATAAATTAA